GTTGCACGAAGGATCGTCATCTATTTATAGATGGCGGATCCTGACAGATAGAAGAGTTAAAATTTGCAAATTATCTCTATAGAAGGAACTGAACACGGTACAATGTGTAACATGAATTCTGTTATTTATGATCATGCAAAAATATCAGTTTATAATGGTAATTTTAATTTTTTTTACTTCTTTAAAAATCATATGGTTAGTTTAGATAAAGCTTCAATGAAATCTCGATGACAAACTTCAAGGGCTTCGACCTCTTCTTCGGTAATATCGAATTTATCTCGCTTTAAAATGTCTCGTCGCATAGCAGCCTGAACTGCCAATCGAACAATTTGTTCCATATGTGCTCCGGTCATTCCTTCGGTACGGCGAATGATGTGGTTGATATTGACATCTTCATTAAGTGCTGCATTACGGATAAGTGCTTTTGTATGGATATCAAAAATAGCAGAGCGAGCGGCTGCATCTGGTAATTCAATCTTAATAACTTCCTCCATGCGTCCCGGACGAAGAAGTGCTGAATCGACTGCTTCGCGAATATTTGTTGTGCCGATTAAGAGAATATTGTCAAGATAAATCATTCCATCGATCTCAGCCAGGAGCTGAGCAGTAACGTTATCATGCACGGTATCACGTACTGAACTACTCTGTGTTCGATTTTTGCACACAGCGTCGATTTCGTCGAATACAATCACATGTAATTTACTGTTTGAACCAAAATTCCGTTGATCTTGACGAGCATCTTCAAACAAATGTCGAATATTTTGTTCTGATTGACCCAGGATGGATGAAAAGATTTCTGGACCACGTATTACTTTCGGATTTACGTTTAATATATCACACACAGTTCGAGCGATCAGACTTTTTCCAGTACCGGGTGGTCCATGTAAAAGAATACCTCGTGTTTTATTTATATCCGATTTAGCGACGAAACTTTATGGATCAAGACGTGGAATCAAGACGTCGCCAAATATTTCTTCTAATATACTCTCCATTCCCCCAATTCTGTTCTTAAAATCGAATCGTTCGTTAATTATATCGAATAGTGTGCGTGAAGGTTTTTCGGATGAACAACAGCGTACAAAATAACTGTGGTACTTCTTAAAATGATATTTCTTATGTTGAACACGATTCAATGCGATTGCACCTAATGTAACAAGTCGGTTTAAGAATAACTTCGAATTCGAAGACACCATATTTATTCAGAATTTCCACACGGTTTGTTTGTGAAAAAATATTGTCTTCTGGATGAATCGCTACATAATTTACAACATTTTCATCGTAGTAGAGTGATGTTTCTATCATTGTTCGTTTTGCCATCATAGTATCCATGATAAGAACGTAACGCAACTGAATAAGAAAAAAAAATAACCCGCAACCATTTTCTGTTTATGATGAAAGGCATTTATCAGTTACGTTCAGAGGGATGAAGAGTAAAAAATAAAAGAGCAAGGTAAGAAAGAGAGCGCAGTCTTTTTGTTTTCTTCAATTGGTGATTACAACAACAATGTCAGCAAACATGATGGTAGCATTAACACAAGTTTCTAGAACAACTTGTGCTATGTGTGATCTGCGAACAAACTCAATGCTATGCAATGTTTGCAAATCGCAAACTTGTGAAGACTTTTATCTTCTATTTCTGACGAGACTCAAGGACGAATGTAATGATTATTTTGGGTTGCAAGCGAAATGTATCGATATGCATGATGCAGCTGATCATTATCATGTACCTGATACTTCCATGGTGATGTTCGATGAAAACGTTCATACGGTTGATGAACATGCGAAGGAACTTCTTGAAGAGCATACCACCATCTCGACCGGTGTATGGGTGTGGGTGTGGGTGTGGGTCTGGATGTGGGTATTGATAGAAGAGAAGGTACCAACACCCACCCACACCCACACCCACACCCTAGGGGGGAAGTTGGTTATTTTTTTTTGAATTTTTGATAACTTTTTTTGTTTTAGAAAGTGTTGCTGATTTTTGTTTGTAAAAGACGATTTGTTTTTTTTTGGGTCGTTGGAAAAAGTGGTGGTTGCTAAGGAAGTTTGTTGTGGTATTTTATGGACTAGGGATGGTAAATTATTCTCGAGCTCTGATTGGTGGAATGGATGGTCAGTTCTGATTGGTCGTCGTGCTAGTTTCACATCGATTATCAATAATTATAATCGATCCAAAAAACTAATCGATTGCGGTGGATTATAATCAGTATGACTTGATTTTAGACGATTGTTATCCTAGTGATTATAATCGATTCGAAAATCTAACCGGTTTCGGTGGATTACAATCAGCATAGCTTGATTCTAGACAATTCTTATCACAGTCATTATAATCGATCCAAAAAACTAATCGATTGCGGTGGATTATGATCAATCTGACTTGATTTTAGACGACTCTTGTCCCAGTGATTATAATTGATTCGAAAACCTAAGTGATTATGGTAGAGTAAAATCAGCATTGCTTGGTTTATATCGAAAAAAATCATCAACTACTGATGAAAATTGATTACTGCTAAAAATTAATTTGAATTGATTAAAACAAAATCAAAGATAATCGATTATGCTCGGTGTACATCGATTTTAATCAATTCCAGTGAAGAAAACGATTATAATCGGTTAAAAACTAATGATTCGTAATCAATTATGCGAAAAAGCGATTATAATCTTTCATTTAATCAAAAAACATCAAAATTGCTTGATTTTCATGAATTAATTATTCTTGAAATCGATTAAAATCATGCATCTGTTGATTTTTCTGCTTATTCTTTTTTACATGGGTCCTCATAATTACAAAATCTTCTATTTTTAGCAATTTATAGAATGGCAGAATTTATTAAAAACTGATAGGTTAATGTCATATACATTTTAGGTTAGCGTAATTAATCTTTTCAACCATCGTTTTCGATAAAAAGCAAAAAATTTTAGGGAAGCTATTAGAAATTTCTATAATTCCATAAAAGACAAGGCTACATGTAATTCTATGATATTTTCATATAGTCTTCTTTTCAAGT